GTGGCCTGGACCCAGGCGAGCCGGGAGTCAGCTAGGCTGCTTGCCCCGATTGTCCGTAGTTACACAAAAACAAACTTCAATGAGAAGCGACCAGAGCGCTGGCACAAAAAATTATGGCAAACACCAGTGCCCAGAACTTGCTCCTGGGTACCAGGACATCAGGGAGGCGTGATTGAAACGGAGTAAAGTAAAAACTGTTTCCTCCACCCTGGTTAAAACAGATTAGATAGGACCCCAGATGGGAATAGATAAGTAAACTTAATTACCCTCAACTATTTCCCCACCCAGGACACAGCTTGAAGATAGATGAATAAACATATAGGACCTGGTTGGAGACAGATAAGTAAATACAGTAAGTTCAGTTCCTTAAGAACTGAATGGAAAAAAATTTTTTTTTTCCTATTTCTGTAGGCACAGGTGATAAACACATTGGGTTTTAGAAAACAACTTGAAAATTAACTGTGGCCTGCGGATATACGCAGTGGGACAGAGAGGAACAAAGTTACTGGGAACTAACACTCTCCCCTCTGCCTAAGCCACCATCAGCTGATGACAGGAAGCAGGTGTGACTCATCTGGTACACAAGTGCACTCGCGGGATCAAAACATTCATGTCCCTTTAAACCGAGGCAAAGGAAATTTCAGCCAGTCATCAACCATCTCACACCCAGATTCCTGAAATTGTTATGAATATGCATAATCCTCTCTTCTAAAACCTACAAAACTATAATTCGATGGAATTTCAGGGAGTCAGATCTGGGTATGGGAACTAGGTACTGCTACTGGGTATGGGTACCTGCCGCTTTGCAATAAATGATTTTCTCTCCTCTTAATCACTCAGTGTGTAAACTGTTTTGGCCTGGCTGCGCACCAGGCAGGGACCCACGTTTGGTCCTATTTCATGATTGGCAGGAGGTGCCACTGTGGCTGCCTCAGACTGGACCTGACTGGTACATGGGAGAACTTGGGGAAAAAAACCTCTCAGAGCTGGGCCTATGCTGCCCCTGCGCCCATACTCACATGGTGTGTGAAAAGCCACACCATGATTTCAGAAAGCTGCTTTTTGGGGTGACAAAACCAGATTACGGTTTTATTTGCTATAGAACACCAAGTGTGGAGAAATAAGGATTTAATACTGAAATTATTTTAAATAATTTTTGCTAATTCTCTCAACCGAATTTTTTGAAGCCTTTCTGGGATAAACAAAAACTGCTATGGAGTTAATTCTGACTCATAGCAACCCGATGCTATAAATCTCTACGGAAGTAGATCACCCCATCTTCCTTCCACAGAGTGACTGGTGGGTTTGAACTGCCAACCTTCTGGTTAGCAGTCTAAGCAGAACTAAATTAAACATGCACACATGATTCCTGTCCTTTTGAAAGTGAACAAAGGAATGTTTTCCCTCCACAAATCTATCTGGAAGACCCAGGTATTTGGATTGGAAATTCTGTCAAAATGAACCACAAGAGATAGAAAGCCTTAATACAGAAATTTTAATAGGTAAATCCGTAATATTACACGGGGGAGATAACAAAGGGCTGCCAGGCACACTCCCCCTAGTATTCTTCCCCTTCCTCAGCCTCAGCTTCCACGGAGTCCACGCCCACTTCTTCATAATCCTTCTCCAGTGCCGCCAGGTCCTCCCGGGCCTCCGAGAACTCTCCTTCCTCCATGCCTTCACCCACGTACCAGTGCACGAAGGCACGCTTGGCGTACATGAGGTCGAACTTGTGGTCGAGACGTGCCCAAGCCTCTGCGATGGCCGTGGTGTTACTCAGCATGCACACGGCACGCTGCACCTTGGCCAAGTCTCCCCCGGGGACAACGGTGGGGGGCTGGTAGTTAATGCCCACCTGTCAAGACAAAGGAAAGGTAAAGTTTATACTGGTCTCAGAAATGATGAGCAATAATTAAAGCTATGGGCCTAGTTTAAATGACCTGTAACACAACACCAAAAAGGACCAAAAATAGAGTGGTAAGTTCACACACGTACATGTATAGGCATATAGGTAAATGGGTAGGTACAGGTGTAAAAACAAACAAAAAAACGAAATTCACTGCCATCAAGTCAATTCCAACTCATAGCAATCCCTATTGGGTTTCTGAGGCCAGAAATCTTTACGGAAGTAGATTGCCCCATTTTTCTTCCATGGAGTAGCTGGTGGGTTTGTATTGCTAACCTTCTGGTTAGCAGCCAAATGCCATATCCAATAAGCCACCAGAGCTCATTTGTACAAGTGAATTTTCGGCATTACACTACCAAAGCTCCTAGAAAATAATACATATTTTTAAAATGATTACTTGTAGAAATTGGTACTATATTTTTTGCCAATACCCATCATTATTTATAAGGGATCTCTGTTGATGTAGTGGTCAAAGCATTCCCTGCTAACCAAAAGATCTGTGGTTCCAACCCACTAGCTTCTTCACGGGAGAAAGATGGAAGCATTCTGCTTCCATGAAGACTGACGGCATTAGAAACCCTATGGGGCAGTTTCATTCTGTCCTCTAGGGCCACGGTGGGTCTGAACTGACTTGATGGCAATGGGTTTGGTTTTAGTTATCAATATTATTTGATATTGTAATTCTACTTTTTGGATTTACCCACAGAAGAGCACAAAGCTACATTGATGAAGATCTGTGTGTAGCTTTCTTGCAGCTATGTTTATAATGGCAAAAACTGAAATCTGAAATGCCTATCACAGGAAATTAAATTATCATGACCACCCGTCTGTGGGAGTTTGCATGTTGCTGGAAGTGTTATAAACTAGTATTTCACATGTCGGCTGGGTCATCCCTGGTGATGTTTTCAGCAGAGGTTCTGTAAGACAGACTAGGAAGAAAGGCCTGGTGATCTATTTTGGAAAATCAGCCAATAAAACCTTACGGATCACAAAAGAACATTGTCTGACTAGCATCATCAGACACGTTACCGGGAGGGATCAAGTGCTACAGGAGGATGTGATGTTTGGTGAAGCAGAGGGTGAGGGAGACCCCTGGTGAGATGGAGTCGAACGTGCTGGTGACCATGAGGATGATGTAGGACCAGGCAACACAAGGCTGTCACGAGTCAGCTGACTTGGTGGCATTTAACAACATCCCGTTGAACTTTGTACTCATAAATAAGTATGTCCAACGTACGTCATTAAGCAAAAAGTGAAGCAATTGTATGTGCCCAGGCAATGAGCTGAGCCCATGTGTTCATAATCACCAGTTTATCCTCATGTCATTCCCAGAGGTGGGTAGAAAGTGTTTTCCCCATTTCTTGGGGAGGATCAGAGAGGATGGGACAGAAGCCTGCTCAGAGTCACAGAGCTGTGAGTGGCAGAGGCAGAATTCAGAGAGTGGTTGGCTCTTGAAAACCTAACCACCTCGCTATTCTGAAGCCTAATGTTCTTACTGAAGGGTGTCCAAAAAAGGAATGCAGAAGTACTAACAGCCCCTGGAGCTGTAAATACGATCTGTCTGGAAATAGGGTTTCCTTTCGTTGGGTTCCTGAGGCCATTCCAAATTAGGGTGGGCCCTAAACCTAACTGCCGAGTGTGTCTCATAAAGAGGAGAACACAGAGACACACAGGCCATGCAAAGACCCATCTACAATCAAAGGAACAACAAGGACTGCTGGCAGACACAGGAGAAGCCTTTATTCTCCAGAACATTCTCTAAAGCCAGGAAAGGAGAAAAGTAAAATAAGTTGAAGAATTCTATATAATTATGCTGTGGAATATTGAACTGTCAAGGATTTCACCTCATTTGGATCTACAATCAACGCCCATGGAAACAGCAATCAAGAAATCAAATATATTTCATTGGACAAATCTGATGCAAGAGACTTTAATTTTAAAGTGTTGAAAAGCAAAGATGTCACTTTGAAGGCTGAAGTGGGTCTAACCCAAACTACGGTATTTTTAGTCACCTCATACATATGAGAAAGCTAGACAACGAATAAGGAAGACTGAAGAATTGATGCCTTTGAATTACAGTGTTGGTGAAGAATATTGAATATACCGTGGACTTCCAGAAAAACGAAGTAGTCAGAATGCTCCCGAGAGGCAAGGATGGTGAAGAGTTCACCTCACATTGGACATATTATCAGGAGAGACCAGTTCCTGGAGAGGGACATCAACTGGTCGAGGGTCAGCGATAAACAGTAAGACCCTCAATGAGATGGACTGACATGGTGGCTCAACAGTGGGCTCAAGCATGGCAATCACTGTGAGGATGGTGCAGGACTTGGCAGCGTCTCATCTGTTGTATATGGGGTTGCTGTGGGTTGGAACCGACTTAACAGCACCTAACAGCAACAACCAAACCCACTGCCATCAAGTCGATCCTGACTGATAGCGATCCTATACAACAGAGAGCTGAATCACCCCATAGGGTTTCCAAGGTTGTAATCTTTATGGAAGCAGACTGCCTCATCTTTCACCCACACAGTGTGGATGGTGAATATGAACTGCTGACCTTTCAGTTAGAAGCCAAGCACTTTAACCACTGTAGCACTTTTCGATAACCAACATAAGAA